GTGCCTGCAGGCATGACCAGGTGATTGGCTCCTTGGCCTGGTTCCTGCCCAGCTCAGACAAAGGTTACAAATTTCTTTTAGTTCTAGCGATAAACAGCAGAAGGACGTTTACTTCTACAGTAATCTTTGTCCCAGAACTACTCAGCTCTAGCAGTAAGAACTGACAAACCCAGCTCCCTCCAATTAAGTACTTAGAGGCATACCACTCTCCCAGTGAGTCTCCTGCCCGAAGGCACTCAGCTTTCTTGGTCTGCACCCAGGAAGTTCACTCCTCTGTCTCACTGCTCTTCACCATCTTTTGCCATCTCTGACATTACAATGATCTGTCTTCTGGATTGCAGAAGCCAACAAAGTGATGTGGTGTCTGAGGGAGGCACTCCATTCCTGGCTCCTTTCTTGATGGCAGTGAGCTTCTCCTTTTCTGCTTCTGGGCTGGCACGTTTTAAACCTAGCAGAATGGCAAAAACTGACATCTCCCCCACAATATGGGTTCATGTACCTTATTTGCGTGTCTCTGTCCCCTAACAGTGTGGCATACATTATTTATATGAGTAACAAGCTATCCAGTCATCTCGGTGGACCTCAAGCACCTTGCATTTCCGTATCCCTACCTGTTTGTCCCGTAGGAGCTCGGAAGGCTATAGCTGGAAGGGCTGTATTAGATCATCTACTGCCCTGTCCCTTCACACCCGTTCTGGTCTGTAGTACATTCTGTGTGTCGTTAAGGTTGGGGCCCTGGGAAACATTCCAGTTTGTCAACAGCCATGCCTCTCTTCATATTACTATAATGTTTATCTAATTGTTCATCTGGGAACATGAAAATGATAAATTTGTATGTGTTCCTGTTAAGCCACCCAGGTGGACTGCATCGAATTCTAGATCATTGTTCAGGCTTTTTTGCAACAGAGGTCGAATGAGTGTGTGGCCCGCAGGACTGACCCACACCGAGCGCTGCAGAGTTTGTTTCTGAAAGGGTTTATCATTCATTCTGCTTTCTGTCCATGTCCCTAGGGGGAGCCTTTTTTACAAGGTGAAAAGGGAGATCAGGTAAGTAGCTGCTTTATTTCTATCCTGGGTTTTTCGCTGCATTGATTTCTTTATTTCATTCTGTCTGTTTACTTTGGAGATTAGGTAAAGTAAGCTTTCTGAGGGTCTTAATTCTCCATTGTGAATTTTGACTCATTTTAAAATGGGAAGTTTAAACCTTGAAAAGTTTTATTGCATGAGGATGCATTAACACTTTACTATGGTATTATATACTTTCATTAACTCATTACCACTGATGATTGGACATGAATACATCTAGGATATTTAACAGATTTTGTCTTTCACTATAGTCAATAAGTTAGGTTTTCTTGCTTGCTTGATTTCTTTTTTTGCCCCACAATGTTAGATGATAATAATTATCTCTCCACTTAAAAGACTATTAAAAGAACTACAGAGTACACATAGGATACATAAAACACAAAATCATTTTTTCAAAAATTCTGTTAATGACATACTTTGGATTTATCCAACATGCTGATTTTCAGAAAGGGTAGTCAGATATAAAACAAATCCCGACTTGGATGGGAAGACTCATAAAGAAAGGGGGAAGGACTATTGCACCGATGGGAGTGGGGCTGCTAAAATAGGGAGAACATTCTGACCTTCTGACCATAAGATCTGCACGTATGTCAAAAAGTTATGGGAAAAGCATTTGTTTCTCTGGGGATTGGAACACTGTAAGCAAGGCAGCGAATTCCAGGAGTTTGGAAGCGGGAAGAAAGGATGAAACCATCCAACAGTAAATCAGAAGTGCCCTGTTTTGAAGTCCCCTTACGCTCTGGAGAGGAAGGGTAAGAGGCTGACTCTACCTAGTGGGCCATAGGAAGTAGAGACGCTTAACAGTAGTTGGGTCAACTAGCATTTTGTGGCTAGGTAACAGTTGCCCTTGTGCCAGCTCTAACTTCTGGGGACACAGTGGGTATCAGCTAGAACCGTGCTCCCTGGTTTTTCAGTGGCGGATTTTTCACACGTGGATCACCAGGTCTTTCTTAGGAGGGGTCTCCGGGTGGGCTAGAGCCTCTAACATGTCGGTTGGCAGTGGAGCACGTTTGCTGTTTGTACCAGTAGGAATTAGCAATTCAGTTTTGCATTAACAAGGCAAAACATGGGAGTTTGGGGCATGTGTGTCTGGCTTGAATCAGAGTGGACTCGATGGTAGTGAGTTTGGTTCTTGGGTTTTGTGCCCAGCTTTGCCCTAAGTAAGTAAGGGGTATTTGTAAGCCTTCTCTAAGTCATAGGGGAACAAAGTGGCAAATCAGTCACTTTAGACATTGTGGTTAGCTGAGCCTCAGGCAGGACAAACTGATAAGAGAAGTTGCGCCTTTTTAGTACTTACTCAGGCTGGGGGATAAGCTAAATCCTGGGGCCTATAGGAAGGAATGAGGGGGCCCTGGTGGCATAGGGGTTACACGTTGGACTGCTAGCCATAAGGTCAACAGTTTGAAACCCCCCAGCTGCTCCAAGGGAGGAAAATGATACTTTCTACTCCCATAAAGTTTTATAGTCTCAGAAATCCACAGGAGAAGTTCTACTCTGTCCTAGAAGGTCACTGTGAGCCAGAATTGACATGCTGGTAGTGAGTTTTTTATAGGAAAGGGTGAAATCTGACTAAAGTGTGCTCTTAACAAAGCAGAAAATAAGAAGGTGGTCATTTTGCACAATTGGTCAAGGTTTAAGAATGTCATGGAAAAGTCAGAAAAACGAACTTATTACAGTCCATTGTACTCTACGTTGTGTTCCCTCAGTGCTCTGGTGTAGTGAGTTATTCATTAAGCTACTAACCATAAGCTCAGAGGTTTCAACATACCAGCTACTCTGATGGAGAGAGATGAGGCTACCTCTTCCTATAAAGATTTTTAAAGTCTTAGAAACCCAAAGGGGCCGTTCTCGTCCGCCGTGTATTAGTCAGAATCAATGTGATCTCACAGCAGTGAGCTTGGTTTGGGAGAGGTTTTGTGTCACCTTACTTTTTTTCTGCTTTTCTCTTCTGTGAACACCGTACTTGGTAGTTGCTAAAGCACAACAGCTTAAATTCCACCTTTCCCCACCGCATCTGAAGTTGTGATCCCCTTGGAAGTGAGATTTAAAAACCCACAAAACTGCCATTAAGTTGAGTCCGCCTCACGTGAGACTGGGAGAACTGCCCTTCCGGGTTTCGGAGAGGGAGCAGAGCGCCTCCTCTGTCTCCAGGTGTGGGACTAGCCCGTGGCAGATGACAGCGGTGTCAGTTACACAGAGTATGCAGAGCTTGCTGGTAGTACTGGATGTCAAATGTCAGAAGTGACATGGGGAAAATTGTTGTAAGGAAGGTGAGAAAGGAAACTACTGTTTAATTGTTCACAGTAAGCATTTAAAGTCATGTTTTAGAGCACACCTCCTTCATTTCACCATATTTTCCATACTTACCCTTTACCTTATTTTAATTAGTGGAGATCCACATGAATTGAAGCATGAGAGATGCTTACTAGACATTACCCAAATGGTGCTGATTCTACTTACAGGGAGAACCTGGGACAAAAGGCTCACAGGGAATAAAGGTAATCTGACGTCCTCCGATCACATCTCCAGCCCTGGGAGACCGTGGCAATCAAAGTAACTGCTGGACTTTCCTTTCCACCATGTGTTTAGGGTGAACCTGGAGACTCTGGTCCCCCTGGCCTAATAGGAAGCCCTGGACTAAAGGTATGTAAGAAATCACCGAGATTAATTAGGAACTGATTTTGAAGTTACAGCTAGTGCCGTGTAAAACAAGGCCCTTCAGTGTGCTGCTCATTTTCTTCACAAAGACTCCCAGAGACGTTATTATGTTTCCATGGTGATATTTTCCTTTATCGGCTGCATTTATTACACACGTAGTAACTGTGCCTTATGGTTCACAATAGGATGTTTAAGCTCTTTTTCAGAGCATCTTCACAATAGCATCCCTAAAAGCTTTAAGAGTAAACAATGCATGCTAAATCTGTGGCCTCAGCTGCAGTCTTAAAATGACAAGGATTCAAGTTTACAGTTCTAAACCGAAATCATGCTGCCCTGGAATCCTTAAATTTCTCTGTGGGGTTCTGCAGGAGTGTCCCAAGAAAGAGCAGCTGATGGGAGGGCATTGGAGAGAGTAATGTAGTGTGCTCCCTGCCAAGGGGTAGGGCAAATTATCTAGGCATCACCTGCTGATGAGCACTGAGCTGTTTCAATGAAAACATCATGAAACTATCTTTGCAAGCCCAAAGCACATTTTAATATCATAGAGAGGAGATGGGCTGGTGATAAATCAATCTTTCTATAGATGAAATCACATTGCATTTTACATATGTTACATATCTAATATATATTACATATATTCAGGTTCTCTCCATCTCTCTCCCCAAACGTAAGGCATGTACTATCTTCTATTTCAGGGTCAGCAAGGACCTGCAGGTTCTATGGGACCCAGAGGACCACCAGGAGATGTTGTATGTATAGTAGGCATAGGCATCTTTGATATTTTTTAACTGTAACTGGGACACATTTAAATGAATGTCAACAACTTATCATGTTGATTGAGTTATGCTGCAGTTTCAAAGACATGAGTCATCTCTACCACGAAAAGTGATCACATCTAATGCTAGAGCTGAGTGGACAACTACCCCCTACATACATGCATGATGAGAGGGCTTTTTTCATATCATTAGCCTGATAAATTGGTTTTGTGAATTCAAATCAAGTGAATGATTATTTTGGACCTGGTTGTGAGTGGTATACAGAGAGTAACGAAGATTGAAAATGCCTAAAGAAATCAGGAAAACCAGGAGAGAGAGAGAGACTTCCCAAGCTTCTACCGCTGTTTTCTAGCAACAGGCTCAAAAACAATTTTTTTTTAATTGCCTGCAATTATTTCCAAAGTACAGTTTCAGAAAGATCCTCAGGCTGCATCATAGCCCATTAGTGGACTCACTTCTCTCCTTTGCTGGAGTGGCTCACGTGTTCTCGTCCATCTCATCTCTCTCTCTGTGTGTGTATCTCACACAAGAGTGCACACACACTCACGCACACGTGTCTTTGTCCGTGCACACGCACATCCCTGTCCTTCAAATGCACGTAGTCCATCCGTCCCCTCGGGCCAGCTTTTCAGTCTTTGAATAACCTCCTGACAACTGATGGAGGCTTCGCCACCAGTCCAACTTGAGAAAAACCAGAAAGATGGTGGCTGTCATTTCTTGGAGACTGGCCCCTTTCTAGCTACCGTCAGCATTCCCCCTCGGCCACTTTTAGAGTCTCTGCTCCGTTATCTTGGGAGCTGTCACTGGCCTCTCGCTCTTCCACACTGGGGCTTCAGGGGTCTATCAGCCTCTGCTTTGGTGGTCTTGATGCTTTGAAAATTCAGTCCACGCGGAAAACTTTTTCTGATCGCACCCCACCCAAGCCTCTTAAGGAACCATTATAAATGTGCTGTATGTAGTAGAAGGAGCCCCACGGAACCATGCATTGCACATTAGCGGCAAACACTAAACTAAGGTCCGCGCTTCGGGCTGACCAGAGTAAGATGAGTCTGCTCCATAAAGACGGACAGTCTCAGAACCCTGTATGATGTGGTGGGGAGCGGCATGAAACCACTAGCCACTCCTCAGGAAGAAGATAGGGCGTTCTACTCTCGTACAGAGCTGCAGCCTCGGAGACCCACAGGAGTCGTGCTACTCTGTCCTATAGAGTCGCCATCGTCACATTCGACTCCGAAGCAGCGAGTTTGGCTTTTTGTGAGGCTATAAGTAGACTTTTTTTTTCAGTGAGCCTTTGTTGCCAAAACATAGCAAGGGGGAAAAGGCAAACCTTTTCCTAGTTACCCAGCTGTCCCTGTGAATTATGATGTGACACTCCCACCTGCCGTTCCTCCACGCCTTCTGGGCAGTAATGAGGGTGGTGCATTGGACCCCATGTTCCCTTACTTAGCTTCTCTCCCATTGCTTCCAGGTGGCTTCACGCATACCTTTAACTCGTGTCCTTCCCTGCCGGATGGGGAAACAATACCCTAACTGTTTAGATCAGCAGTTCTCAACCTCTGAGTCACACCCCCTTTGGGGATTGAGCTACCCTTTCACAGGGGTCGCCCGATTCACAACAGTAGGAAAATGACAGTTATGAAGTAGCAATGGAAATAATTTTATGGTTGGGGGGGTCACCACAACATGAGAAACTGTGTTAAAGGGTCGCGGCCTTAGGAAGGTTGAGAACCACTGGTTTAGATGTTAGATTTTGTTTTCCTGACCAACACACACATGTTGTCATAATAAGAGGTATTCTGCTTGTTCTCTTACTTTAATTTTGATTTTAACAGGGGTTACCAGGAGAACACGGCATCCCTGGCAAACAAGGCACGAAAGGAGAAAAGGTATAGCTTCTCTTTGACGCATTTTGTGTTCCTGGGTGATTAAGTCGAAAGGAGAGACAGGATCATAAGGTTATTTGATGAGTGAAGGTCTAGAACAAAGTTTGTTTCTGAGGGGTGGTCTAGGGTACAAAAGTCCACAGGAACTATGCTGGGAACAAGGCCCCTTGGAGTTGTGCATTGTGGCAACTCTGGTTTTAACTTAGGAACCCAATGGGGAAAATGAATCAGAGAGTCTGTTTCACACGCATGGACTCTGGTGTAGGCCACTGCAGCACGTTTCCTGATGTCTGCATGGAAATAGTGCAGTCATGCTGAACAACCAGTGGAGAACAACTTAAAGAGCACACAGAGATCATCGAAAATACTTCATGGAAGAATATGTTCTTTGTGCATATTCATGCTCATATATGCATCATGCTAATGCTAAAATCATGATAACATTATCAAGGTTCATGAGGGAGTGGGGAGCGGGGAGGGAGGGGGGAAATGAGGAGCTGATATTAAGGGCTCAAGTAGAAAGCAAATGTTTTGAGAATGATGATGGCAACAAATGTACACATGTGCTTGACACATGGATGGATATATGGATTGTGATAAGAGTTGTACGAACCCCCAATAAGATGAGTAAAAAGAAAATCTAAATGCATTTGGGATCGTAGAACAGTGTCTGGCTTGATTAGGTACGCAGTAACTGTTGGTTGAGTGAGTGAGTGAGTGAGTGAACTCGACTCCCTCTGATGACAAACCAGTGAAAGCAGCAGACTCCTTAGTTCCTCCTCCCACCTAATACCCGAGGAAAGAAGTAAGGCTCTTCTCTGTCTTGCCAGGGAGACCCAGGCGGCATTATGGGCCCTCCTGGGCTTCCCGGTCCAAAAGGCGAGGTTGGTCCTCCAGGGAAAAGCCTGCCAGGAGAACCAGTAAGTATCAGCCCTTTTCCCTTCCAAAGTCAAGAAGCACTACTTAATGAATTCCCAGTTTCGGGTCACAAGAATAGAAATGATTTTATGTCTGCAAAAGAAAAATGGTATGCATCGTATTCTTTAGATCAGAGATCTAACTTTTGGAAACTGTGATGATGCAAGCCATGGAGTCTCTTCTGAAGAAAATAGACATGCAGAAACCATTTTGCATATAATTTCAGACGATTCATAAGACCAACATGGTACTGATGGAGTCGGTTCTGACCCAGGTGCCCCCATGTATGTCAGAGTATACATACTCTGGAGGGGGTTCGGCGGTTGCTTTTTGGGAATTACTTTCTTCTGAGATGCCTTTGGGTTGACTCACTCAGCCCACCACCCTAACTGTTAGTGTGTTCACTATTACACCATCGGAGATTCCAGAAGATTCATCAAACCGAAAAGAACAACCAGCTGCCATCACGCTGAGTCACAGACGGTCCTCCATCCCTGCATCTGACGCATGGATTCCTCAGAGACCTGTGGAGCTCAGTAACGTGTACTGGTTTCGAACCAGAAGCTTTCCCAGGACACTGTCTTTAAAATGGGGTGGGCGGTGTAAAATTTATGTTCCAGAGCCTTCGATATTGTCATTCTCTGAAAATGTCAATTTGGGGGTCTCTTTATTCCCAGTACATAGAAAACTAGAGTGCTGGAGAATCCGAATAACCAATGTCTTTGTTTTTCTCATCTCATTTGAACATTTATCCCAATTAATGATAAATGGTTCTCAGTATTGAAGTTTTCATTTTAAAGATGAAGATATAATATATTTTAAAGTAACTATGCACATGGAGAAAGAGGTAAGTCTTGTACACAATTCTGCAACAAGAGTAATAGCAGTCATGTACAAATTTTGTAAGTTCTTAATCAATGAAAAATACTTTACACAGCAACTGCAATGAGGGGCTCAAACATAACAATTGTGAGAAGGGTGCGGGGTGTGGTATCTCGGTCCTGGCGTGCACAGAGTTGCCGAGTGGAAACTGACAATGGCACCAACAGTCACAACATGGTCTGCTGGACTCATGTTCTCCATTCCTTATTCTAATCAAGAAAAGGGGCTTTGCTTTTTGGCTTTTTCAAATAAGATAAAGAACAATGAAACCAAGTTTTGAGTTATAACAGATATTTTTAACCTTTCAGAAGAAAGAAAATAAATCTTACATTGCCTTCACTTTTCCTTTTCTTTTTTATTTTTTCAGGGGTTCGATGGCAATCCTGGAGTACCTGGCCCACGTGGGCCAAAGGTGAAAAACAGTTGCTTTGTAAATAATTGATAAATTAATAAGGCCTAGCCAACAAACCCATGTCCCGTGCTCTTGGCACTAACTGAGGCATCTTGTTGCACAGGGTGAACGAGGACTGCCAGGCGTCCACGGTGGTCCCGGCGACATGGGCCCACCTGGGGTAGGGATTCCTGGACGAACAGTAAGTCAAATCCATTCAAGCTCATGAAAGCTCTGTTGAATCTAATCATACAGATTTTTAAAGTCCATAATGAACTCAAGTGGGGTTAAAAAAAAAAGCTCAGATGAGGAAATACAAATAAACACTAGTCAGAGGAGAGAACTGATGGCCGTTAAGGAGCCCTGGTGACAGTGTCAGGTAAACACTGGGGACTGCTAACTACAGAGTCTGTGGCTCAAATACACCAGTTGCCCCTTGAGAGAAAATTGAGGCTATCTGTTCCTATACAGACTTGCAAAGCCTCAGAAATACCATATAGGGTGGCAATGAGTCAGATTCCACTCACTGCAGTTAAGTTGTTTGTGGTTCTATACTGTGTGTACTTAAAAGTATACTAGCATTCCTTTGAGATGATAAGCATGAAAAAACCAAACCCATTACTGTCAAGTGGAGTCTGACTCATAGCAACCCCACAGGGCAGAGTAGCATTGCCCCTTGGGGTTTCTGAGCCTGCAGCACCTTCACCATTGTTCCCCATGGCTGCACGCTGGTGAGCTGAACTGCAGCCCTTGTGGTCGCAGCCCATTGCTAACCCAGGACACCACCAGGCCTCCTTCATAAGAATGACTAGCATGAGGCAATCTGATACATCCATTTGTTTTTAGCTAAAATAAAACAAGTTGACTCTTGGAGTGTATCAAATACACACGAATAAAGTAGTGCCAAAACAAGCTATAAGTGACATTTTAAAGGAGAGACATGAGAAAGATGTTCTTAATGGTTCAGATAGAACATGGGTAGTTTTGAAATATCTTTTCAATATCAGGACAGAATCTAGAAGTGTGCCTCACAACAATGGCCCCAGTGGCCTCAGAGATTGGTCATTGTGCTACCAAAGGCACACGAGTACAAGATGTTGGAACAAGAAAAGCGAAAATAAATATTTCAATGGCAGTATTTTGGGAAGATGGCCTTGTAATGAAGGTAGCCAATGGAGCCCAGGCAGTGTTAGGGGATAAGCCCGGCCTGCTAAAGACAAGGGCATCGATTCAAAGCCATCGACAGCTACCATGAAGATTGACAGCCTTGGAAACCCTAAGGGAGCAGTTCTACTACAGGGCTCCTGAGAATCAGAGCTGACTTCCAAAAAACACAAAAAACATCAAGTCAGTGCCAACTCATAGCAACCTTAGAGGTCAGGGTTGAACGACCCCTATGGGTTTCTGAGACGATAACTCTTTATGGGAGTAGAAAGCCACCTGTCTCCCTTGAAAAAGGCGATTTCAAACTACTGGCCTGGCAGTTAGCAGCCTGCTGAGTAGACACTATACCACATAAGGGGAGGAAAAAATCACTTTAGGACACAGTACAAATCTTTTTAAGGGAATAAAAAGTAGCATTGACACAAGCAGTGATATGAACATCTGATTTTTAAAATTTTTATTTAGCTATAATTAACATAAAATTCAATAGTTTAACCATATCAAGATAGGATGTGCAATCATCACCACAATCTTTGCAACCTTTTCCTCCTTCTTGTATGCTTTGATGTTGACTCCTAGTTGGCCCCTCCCCTTCCATGCCTCCCGCAGTCATTAGTCCAGCTACTGTCCTCCTAACTTTGCCCATTCCGGGTTCTCTATACAGATAAACAAGCACAGCAAAGGCAAGCAATAAACATGGACACAGCAACAGTGACCACATAAAACAGAAAGACATCTGTCTAGCAGAAAGTGGGAAATTTAGAATAAATACACATTGGGGCCAGAGGGAGATCAAAAGACCAGGTGTTCCATTCGAGCCTGCCTAGTGGCTAACATCCTCTTTACAGGGCTCTTTGATATTAAGGCAGTTGGCGGCTCCTAGTCTACACGCATCGGGGATTCACCAGGGAATCAACCCATGTAGGGATTTCGGGCAACCGCTATCGTCCATAACTTTCCGTAAACTTGTTTTTTAGAATTTAGGCACTGGTACCATTCCCTCCTCTGGGTTTGGATTGTATTATTTACAATCATTAAGTCACACAGACTGGTGTGTGTCTTTCCAGTGGGCCTAGCTGAGTCCTCGCTTAGATGGATGCATTTTGGAGACCAGCCTGTATGATCCCACATGCTCTTTCATGATAGCTGGGCACCATCTGATTTTCTCCCCACACACTGCTATGGCATGCATGTCTACGTTGACCTCCTCATGAGGGCAATGACCAGGCAGGGCCAGATGTACATCTCTTTTGAAAGGTGGTGAGCAGTTTTTGAAGGTGTTTACCAGCCCTTCACTCACTCAAGTTGTAAACCCAATGGCCCATGCTTGTGTCATATTTCCACTAATTATCTCCCATCCTTTTGGGTATACGAGCTCAGCTTTTTTTTAAGGTGAACTGATTTATTTTTCACTTCCTACTTCTTTAACTACGTCTTTCAGTTCCTTCAAATAGGAAAATGTCTAAGAGTAGAAAACAGAGAGAATAGGAGGTCTGAGGACATCACCCCTGGACAGTCAGTGTCTGAGCAGATAGCAGTTGGATGCATTGTTTGTGTACTTAAGACTGTGCAGTCACTGGTGACAGTAATGAGAGAAATATTCCAGGTATTTGAGCAAAATCATCTCCATGGTCCCAGCAATAGGTATGTAGCTAATGCTTCTCCACCACCCAAAATGTTTGGTAGAATCTGAAGCGAACATTGAGGATGTGCACTGGGGCCAGCCCTTTATCCCACTACATAAGTTATAACGTTTAGCCCTGTACCCCACCTGAATCATGTGTGGACTTTCGTGACTTGTCCTGAAGGTGGGATTCTGAGAGTTGCATCTCACTTCCTCCAGGGCTCCCAAGGACCAGCTGGAGATCCAGGCATTCAGGTAAAAGACTTCACATTATTTGCCACAGCAAATCTAGTTAGCTCACTTGGAAGAAACCCCATTCTCATAAATACCTGTTTTTCTCCTACTGCAGGGTCCTCGAGGTCTCCCTGGGTTGCCGGGAACTCCGGGATCTCCAGGGAATGACGTAAGGACTATCTGTTTGCTCCTCCTTTGTCGTTTTCATGTTTTTTCTGATGTGCAGACACGAACATGATGCTTCTGTTTTCAGGGGGCTCCAGGACGGGACGGAAAGCCGGGCCTTCCAGGCCCCCCAGGTGACCCGGTATGTATACAGACTGAGCCTGATGGATCTCTCTTTAATGCACCTAAAAGCCAAGAAGCCAAATAAGCAAGTTTTCTGCCCAAACTCATTAGAATGCTCAGTGACTCCTTGGCGGTTTTGTTTATTGCCATTATTTTGTAGAAGAAAGCATTCCAGCTCTGTCAGCATTTTTCTTGCCTGTGATAAATACTTCTTTCTTAAGGGTACAGTTCAGCTGTACAGGTTTGCCCCAGGCTAAGTGCTGGCACATAATGTCTCAATCCAACCAAAAATTGAGTTCAAATGTATAGCCAGATTTTTCCTATTTCCTAGAGCTAAGAGCTAAATGAATTTCTCTTCTCTAAATGAAAGTCTGCAGGTAAATGGCCTGCGATGTGGGACACAGCCATTGATTCTGTGGCTCTAAAAACACTGAAGTGATTGAATTACTGTACCTGGCTTGATTAAGTTCTTAAAAAAAACAGGCATTAAAAATGGACTCCAAAATTTTACCTCACGCTAAGCCCTTGCTTGGAGTGACAGTGAAATCCCTCTAAATAGCCTCAGAATCCGCAGCTATAATTTGAGAGGCCATATGGCACGCGGCGTTGTATTAAGAGTTTTACATGACACAGTCCAAATCTGGGCTCCCAGTTTTAAACTGCACAGATCCTTCCCTGCCCACACTCTTTGGGCCTCTGTGCTTTGGTAAGCCAAGTGCAGGGGCATATTTTGACCTGATTTAAGCTCCATCGCTGAGGGAATCATGTGTACATCATCTGAGAGCCTTGTAAAGTGTTATAGGGTTTATAGAGTATCTTTCAGAAAGGGTGTTTTGAGTCCTGAGGCCAAAACCCTGCCAAAGCTCCCTCCGTGTTGTTCTCGTCCAGAGCTGAAGCTGACTGTAGGTTCTTTTGAGCGTGCCTGAGAAATCATTCTAAAGCAAACACATCCAGTATTGTTCGTATTTTCCCACAGCAGGATAATTTGCTTGGCAGTGTGGTGATTTCTTTTTAATAAATGAGTTATCTTCAAGTATTATTTCAAACCATTAATGCCCTGGGGACAGCATAGAGGTTACCATTGTCATTAAAATATGAAATAGAGCCGCAGAATCAATGTTTTGTGTGTGCGCGCGCGCATGCGCGTGCGCATGGGCATCTGTGTTCATGGTAGAGGAGCTCTCAAACTGATGGTGCATGTTCTCCGGGATGTGTGTCTTTTCTTCAAATGAAGCATCGTCTTACGCCAATGACCCTGACAGGGAATCAGTAGAAGCCCCTGACAAATTTCGACCCAAATAGCATTTTGAGGCAAAAGCTGTGTATGATACGCGTGTATGGTATTCATGTGTAAATATGGCTTTGCCTTTCTCCCCCCTTTACCACAGATTGCACTTCCCCTCTTGGGAGACATCGGTGTCTTGCTCAAGGTACTCTATTGCTATATAAGAAATTATATGTTAACTTCCAGGAAGAAGCAGAGAGGAAATGTTTGCCAGAAATTCAGATAATGGCTTCACCTGAACTACAGCCCCATCTTCCAATGACAGAACATCTTTGAGACAGAAAGAGAATATGTATCTTGTGCCATTTATACTTAAGGAGACTGGGTGGCACAGGGGGATGAATGCTCGGTTCATGGTTCAAACTCACCAGCTATGGTGTGTGGGTTTGGGTTTTCAGTCTACATGTGTGTGGAGGGAATACATCCTGAGATGAAGTGTTACTGACATCTCCTCTCTGGAGCACAGCTTTCTTCTAATGGGTGCTTGCTTACCCACCTGCCTTGGAACCCGGTGTCTCCCCTGGCCAGTCCCTGAGCAAAACCAGTCCTCCATCAGCAGCTCACTGCCAGGCTGCATTATAATGTCATGGGATTTTACTACGTAAACAGCACAATTCCAAAACTAGCAATTACCCTGGCATCTGTTACCCTGTTAAATACAGATTATCTCTCTCCCTATTATCCTTCACATAGGGAATTAATTTTACTACCAATGGTCATTTTTCCCTGTAATATTTACCTATGAAACAGATTGGGGGGGTGCTGAAAAGGGACAGTGGAGAGGTTATGTATTTTCATGTTTCTGCATGATATGTTAAGGTCAGCATGACTCCAGGTGGAAAAAAGATACTCTTTTACACTCATGTTTCATGTGTCTTTCTGTGTTTATCCACAGAAAGAGACTGTATGTGATTTATTTTCTATTCATAACATGTAGCACAATGGTTCCCGCAATGACCCACTGAATACTAAGCAGCCAAGAAATTTTGTTAAATTGAAATGAAAAGACTCAAAAGTTCTGGTATGTGGCCTTTCATTCGTTAAAGATCGTAGGCATCTCATCAATTATGTCGCAAAGTGACCTACTAGGACAGAGTAGAACTGCTCCTTGGGGTTTCAGATACTGGAAAGCAATCTACTCTCATAAAACTTTAAACCTTGGAAACCCTATCCAGGGTCACTCAGTCAGAATTTACTTGACAGCAGTGGGGGAGGTGGGGGGACAACTGTTACAGCCCTGCTGTCATCTCACTAATGTTCTCAGTCCCAATCAAGATTATTGACTGGAAAGTGGTGGGCTATTGTGAAGTGTCATCAAAGCAGCTCTAAGTCACTGTATTCATGAACTACCTGGTCCTACTTTACCCTTACAGCCATTGCTGGGTTTGAGCTCATTGATGCAGCCGCTCGGTCAGTCCACCTCGTCAAGGGCCTTTCTCTCTTCCACTGCCCTTCCGCTTTACCAAACACAATGTCCTGCCCCATGGGCGGGTCTTGTCCCAAGTATGTACGATGAAGTCTTGTCATCTTTGCTGTTAAAGATCACGCTAGCTGTACTTCTCCCAAGAAAGATCAGTTTGTCCTTTGAGCAGTCCATGGTGATTTCAATATTCTTCTCCAGCTCCACAGTTCAAATGCATCCGTTCTTCTTTGGTCTTCCTTATTCAGCGTCCACCTTTAGCATGCATATGATATGATGCTGTGGAGAATGCCATGGCTTGGATCGCCTTTGTCCTCAAAGAAACATCCTTGCTCTTCAATACTCTAAAGAGGTCTCGTGCGGCAGATTTGCCTAATGCAAAGTGTCATTTGATCTCTTGACTGCTTCTTCCATGAGCATTGATTGTGGATCCAAGCAAGACAAAATTGTGCCTATTGATACAGTTATGAGGACTTGGTCTTCCTTACATTGAACTGTAACCCATACTGAAGGCTACAATCCTTGATCTTCATCAGCAATTGCTTCAATTCCTCCTCACTTTCAGCAAGTAAGGTTTTGCCATCTGCGTATCTCAGGTTGTTAGTAAACCCTTCTGCAACCCTGATACTACATTCTTCTTCATATATGGCAGTTTCTCGGATTATTTGCTCAGCATACAGATTGAACGAGCATGGTGAGAGGCTACAACCTTGATGCACACCTTTCCTGATTTTAAACCATGCAGTATTGCATGTTCTGTTCCCACAACTTCCTCTTGATCCATGTACAAGTTCCTCATAAGGACAATGAAGTGTTCTGGAATTCCCATTCTCATCATGGTTTATGGTCCATTTATTATGGTCCACACTGTCGAATGCCTTTGCATAGTCTATGAAACACAAGTAATATTTCTGGTATTCTCAGCTTTGAGCCAACATCCATCTGATATCAGCAATGATATCCCTTGTTCCTGTCCTCTTCTGAATCTGGCCTGAACTTCTGGCAGTTCCCTGTCAATGTGCTGCTGCAAATGTGGTATGATCTTAAGCAAAATTTTACTTGCATGTGATAGCAGTGATACCGCTTTATAGTTGGAGCATTCTATTGGGTCAACATTCTTTAGAATGGGGAAAGCAATATGGATCTCTTCTAATTAGTTGGCCAAGTAGCTGTCCTCAAAATTTCCTGGCACAGACAAGTGAAGGCTTCCAGTGCTTCTTCAGCTTTCTGAAACATTTCAATGGGCAGTCCCTCAATTTCTGCAGCCTTGCTTTTGGCCAGTGCATTCAGTGCAGTTTGAACGTCTTCCTTCAACACCATTGGTTCTTGCTTATGTGCCACCTCCTGAGATGATGGATTGTCGATTAGTTCTTTTTGGTAGAGTGACTTTTGGGCAGTCTTTCCATCTTCTTTTGATGCTTCCTGCATCATTTAATATTTTGCCTACAGAATCTTTCAAGATTGCAACTTGAGGCTTGAATTTTTTCTTGTGTTCTTTCAGTTGCAGATATGCTGAGTGTGTTCTTCTCTTTGTTTTCTAATTGTAGGTCTTTTTACATTTCATTATAATATTTAGCTTTGTCTTCTGCATCTGCCCTTTGACATTGTCTGTTTAGCTCCTTGACTAAATCCTTTCATCCACTTGCTTTAGCTACTCTACAATTAGAGCAAGTTTCAGCGTCTCTTCTGACATCCACTTTGATCTTTTCTTTCTTTACTGTCTTTTTAATGACCTTTTGCTTTCCTCATGAATGATGGCCTTGAGCTCATCATGTCTCTTGTCATTAATGTCCATTGCATCAAATTTGATATGTTCTCAAAATTCAAGTGGGATAGACTCAAGGTCTTGGAGACTTGTTTTCATTTCCTTCAGCTTTATCCTGAACTTCCATATGAGTAATTGGTGGTCTGCTCCTCGGTCGTCCCCTCGTCTGGTTTGAGCTGCTGATATTGAGCTTCTCCATCGTGTCTCCCATAGATGTAGTCAATTTGATTTCCTTGTATTCCATCCAGGGAAGTCCATGTGTATAGTCGTCTATTGTGTTGTTGAAAAAATATATATTTACTATGAATAAGTGTTAGCTTTGCAAAATTCTGTTATATCATCTGCAGCTACATTTCTATCACTAAGTCCATATTTTCCAACTACTGTTTCTTCCTCTTTGTTTCCAAATTTTGCATTCCAATCACCAATAGCTATCAATACAGCTTGATTGCATGTTTGAACAATTTCTGACTAAATTCATAGATAGAATTCTTCCAGTTCTTCATCACTAGATTTTGTAGTTGGTACATAAATTTTAGTCATATTTGATTTGATTGAATTTCCTTGAAAGCAAATAGATAAAATCCTATCACAAACAGCATTGTACTTCTTGATGGATTTAGCAAAATCCTTTCTGACAATGAATGCCATGCCATTTCTCTTGATTGTGTTATTCACGGCGTAGTAAATCATATGTTTTCCATTTTGAAAATGGCCAATACCAATCCATTTCAGTTGACTAATACCTAGGATATTGATTTTCATGTGTTCCATTTCATTTTTGACCACTTCCAATTTTCCTAAATTCATACTTCGTACATTCCAAGTTGTGATCATTAGCCGATTTTAGCAGAATCACTGATGGTGGACAGGTTTTAGTGGAACTTCCAAAGTGAGGCTGACCAAGACAAAGCAAAAGGTGGCCCACTTATAAAACAGTGACCACTGAAAACCTGTGGAATGCAGTAGAACAGTGTTTGATATCGCGCCAGAAGATGAGCCCCTGAGATTGAAAAGCACATGAAATACAGCTGGGGAAGAGCTGCCTCCTCAAAGGAGAGAGGACCTTAATGACATGGATGTTGCAAAGCTTTTGAACTTTCATTTGCTGGTGTAGTAAAGTCAAAAATGAGAAGAAACAGCCACAAACTTCCATGAATAATTGGAATATGAAATACACAAAGTATTGATAGGAAACTTAGAGCACATCAAAAGTAAAATGGAAGACAGAGATTTGCTGGTATTGGAAAATCTGCTGACGTTGCTTCCAGCATCACAGCAATACGCAAGCCAGCACACTGTGACAATCCGAATGACAAGTGGCAGATGTAGTGAGCAGGCCGCCTAAAGCCCTGCTTTCAACAAACTGCATTCAATAAAAGTACGGGCAGGAAGAAAGCTTCCCAAAGCTATATCTAAGTGCAGATATACCTCAGAGATATTGCCGTTGGATTGCAGAGCACAGCAATAAAGTGAATCGTCAAAAGAAAATTTCTACTTCTGTGTGCATATAAAAGTTATGTTTACACAATACTATAGCCTTTTAAGTGTGTAATGGCTTTATTTTAAAAGTTTGAAATATTGTAAGAATTATCAAAATGTAACACAGAGGCATGAAGTGAGCACCTGCTATTAGAAAAATGGGATGCTGGTATACTTGCAGGTTGCTACAAACCTTCATTTTATTAAAAACAATCTCTTGAAAAAGGCATTAAAATGAAGTATAATAAAGAGAGGTCTACCTGTATAGGAATTTAGACCGGGGACTGGATCTATCAGGCTGTGTTAGGGTGAGTTTTCTAGAAAAACAAAACTAGCAACATGCATATATGTGTAAAAAGGAACTTCATATCAAGAAAGGATTTTCTATCAAAAAAGTGTCGCAGCCCAGTCTAACGCAAGTTCATGGATCTGATGCTAGCCAGAGACTTTTGGACTCACACAGCTGCCAGTGGATGAAGCAGGAGGCTGGGAGAGCACAAACAGGTGGAGAGAGGAATCACACCATCCAAGATCTGGAAGAACACAGCAGGGTGCTAACAGCTCCCAGCTTCAGAAGGCTGTGTGCATCAAAGGTCCCAGAAATGACATGGGCCCCAATCGAAGAGGAAGGTGAAGAGCCAGAGGGGGAGAGAGAGAAGTTCCCATGTTTTTCTTATGAAGAGGGAAATGCATGCATGCATATGTGCGTGTGTTCCCCTCTTCAATACATTACCCATTACCATACACTATTCTAATTTATAGCCACCCTACTGAACAGAATAGAACTGGAGCAAGTTTCCAGGGCTATAATCTTTACAGCAGCAGACTAACTGCCCCATCTTTCTCCCACGGAGTAGCTGGTAGACTAGAACCAGCAGATTTTGGGGTTGCACCCGTGTTTAAGTGCTACACTAACAAGGCTTCTTCTGCAACAACTGTTAGTGTTAGGTGCCATGAATTGCTCCTGACCCATTGTGCCTAAATGTACAAGAAACACAACACTGCCCAGTCCTTTGCCACCCTCTTAATTGTGCCTAAAATTGTTGTAACCACCGTATCAGTTCAACTCATGAGGGTTTTCCTCTTCACCAGCATCATAATTCAAATGCATCAGTTCTTCTAGGATTTTTATTCATTACTAAGGTGACCAGATTTTAACATTGGTAAAGCGGGACACCATTGATAAAACTCATATCCTGGCGAAATAGCCACATGGCAGCCGAAAACCATATACTCTAGCTTGTCATGCATTCTTTACAAAAATCGGGACTTTTTAAAAACGCCGCGGGACGCAGGAAAAATTGTTAAAAATTGGGACGTCTGGTCACCTTATTCATTACCTAACTCTCACATGCATATGAAACCATTGAAAATACCATGGCCTGGATCAAGCTGCCTTTGTCTTTAGAGTGACACCTTTCTCTTTAATACTTTAAAGAGGCCTTTTGCAACAAATTTGGCTGATAAAATATGTCATTTAATTTCTGAACTGTTGTTTCCATGGACATGGATTTTGGATCCAAATAAGTCCAAAAAATTTTTTAAATAAAGCCAAACTCAATGCCAAGGCCATCAAGTTGATTCTGACACATAGCCATCCTATATAGGGTTTCTGCAACTATAAATCTTTATGGGAATAGATAAGCCTCCTTTTTCTCCTGCAGAATGGCTCTTAGGTTTGAACCATAGACCTTGCACTAAGAGCCCAGTATCCTACTCACAGCACTGCTAGAGCACCTTAAAATTATCAAGTTGGTAAAATTAGTTTGAAAAACATTGTACACTCTAGTTCTCTTTTATATATTTGGGTTCTAAAAATCACCACCATAAAGAGAAATATTTAACCCAATATTTTTTAAGCAATTGGTCTTAGAATTTTTTCAACCCCATGTCAAAAAATAAAGGACCCCCCTCCCCCCAAACAAACAAATGCACTGTCATTGAATCGATTCCAATTCCTGATGATCCTAGAGGACAGGGTAGAACTGCCCTTGTTGGTTTCTAAAACTATAATTCTTCATGGAATTAGAAAGCCTCGTCTTTCTCCCATGGAGCAGCTGATGGTTTCAAACTGCTGATGTTGCAGTTCGCAGAGAAACGTGTAACCACTATAGCATCAGGGCTCCATTTGGAAACCAGCCATGTGCTAATATTATTAGATAAAAAGTATTGAACATGTAGAATCATGGTTTGGGGATTGTTTGTTTTTTACCAAGTTTTTCAATGGCAAGCTACAGTTTCCTTTGGAAAGATGCTTAATTAATCATTCGTTTTCCTTATTTTATGTATTTGATGTTGAAAATATATACAGCAAAACATACACCAATTCAATAGTTGCTGCCTGTATCACTGAGGTACACCAATTACATTTTTCGAATTGTGCATCTTTTCTTCCTAGTCGCTCTGAGTTGTTTTTCCCTCACTAGCTGCATTTCATTTCTGAAAATATTTCTCTTTGGTGAAAGAGACTAAGTCCCATCTTCTATCAAGTGTTAAAACTAAGCGATGTCTCCCGCTCGGTGGCCCTTATTTCCTGGGCGTTTTCTTATTCTAACAATATATAAAAGATCGGCCTTTTAGGATTTTCCCTGGAGTCTTTTCTTTCGCTGTGTGATCAGACTTATGTGAGCTCAGACACTTAGATGTAAGCTTTCCCAGATCAGCTAAAGGTTACCAAGAAGGCAAGGGAAAGGTAATTCCACCAAGATTTTTCCATCAGCATTTGGAGTTGACATAGGAGTCAAGTCCAAGCCACGAAAGTAATTATTTCTCACATGAGTACTTCCACTGACAAATAGAATGTTAGCAAACTGTGTGTGAAATCCTCCAGGGATTTTTCCCTGAAAGAGACGTCTTTTCTTCACAGTTCATTTCTTCTTTGCTTCCTTCCTTCTTTCCTCCCTCCCTTTCTTCTTCCCTTCTTCTCATCTCTTTCTCCCTTCCATTCTTTCCTCCTTTCCTAAAATTTGTGTTATGGTCGTAATCTTGCTGACTGTTGCCAGCTTTGTCCTCCCTTCCCTGTGCTGGCTAAGCGATTGAAATCACTCTGCGCCGCAATCTGTTTCTCTTTTATTTATCCGACATTCTTAAGTTAAATATCATTGTAAACATACCAACTCAAAAGTCTCATAAGCAAACACCATTTGCCTTGATTTGTAAATCATTTTCTCACCCAAAAAAAAGAGTAGTCATTTCAAATGACATAAGTTAAGTTCCCAGAAAGTAGAGTTACCTCACAGTGACCCCCTGACTCATCTCTGACAAAGATTCACATAGAACCTCAAATAGTAGCACATCTTACTGTGAAGGGTTGCTCTTATGAATCTCTCAGTAACCAGATGTTTATACTCATCAGAACTTCTGTGGCAATTGCCAACCCAGTGTTCCCGCACTGAAGAGCCACAGGGAAGAAGGAGATGCTGGGGAGCCTGGGAAGTACGACTTTCCAGCCCAGAAGGTAAGTCTGATTGCGTGCTTATAGAAAGGGTGAAGCTACGCATCCTGCCGTGCCTCAGCTCTGCATCTGCTCTGTCCTCCAGGGTGACACAGGGCTGCGGGGTCCTCCGGGAATTCCAGGCAGGGAAGGACCGAAGGTAAGGAAATCTCCCTTCCCCCTCCTCCTGCTACCCTCCGTTCAGTGTGAGGGAGGGAAAAGAGGAAACCCACGTTAGTATGCCTGCATTTGTTTTTAGAAAACATTTCATAAAGTAGTGCAAAAGTAGTTTACAAATGGTGCCAGTTATCTGTTCTCTGACCCTGTCCATACCCCAAGTGTCCTGAGAAGAATTCTTTCATTAATCCAAGAGGTGATATAATGATTGAGTATACCAGCTAAAATGTTGTCATTTTAGGGAAGCAAAGGAGAGCGAGGCTACCCTGGGATACCTGGAGACAAAGGTGATGAGGTAAACAATTCTTCTCTGAAAATATAGTCCTATTCATTACACTCGCTTGACATCAAACCTTAGCTCATCTTTAAGGTTAGCACAAATGAAAACTAAAGACTTGGGTAGTTATGGCCTTACAAATGCTAACACACTATAAATAATCATGATATGTTGATATTTATTACCAATGGTCCAGTTTATAAGAAGATTGATATACCAAGTTAATATACATCCTGTAAGGTTTTCCTGTTTTCAAAGCAGGCAACAAGCACAGGGTTCTCTCAAGATGAAAAAACAGGAGGATGGGAGGAGTTACTAAAAAGATTCACAAAGGAGCTAATAAAAAGGAAAGAATAAAGAGCCAGGCTAAAGACTGTAACAGCTCCAGAACTCAACAAAACTGCCCTTGGACATGATTCAACTCCAGCAACCTCGGTCTGTCTCTGTCTCTGCTGTACTTTCAAACTCCTGGGCAGGGAGGGGATGGGGACTGTCAAACGAATCTGACTAGATTCGTTTGGATCAGCTGCCCACACGCTGACCAGAGTTCAAAGTCAGATACCCTTTTTGAAATCCTGGCACAATTTTCTGACTCCAAGCCATGATGATGATCAGGATATAATTCTTTTCCTGCGTAATTTACATTAACTCTTAGAAAAACCAATTCGAATGATGAATTGTTGTTAGTTTAAACAGTTTTGATACTAATAATTCTTAATGAAAGTAAGTAAGCCATCTGGCATATATTAACCTTGATGTTAGTGCAGAAAATCATAATGGTATGAAGTAGATCTATTTTTTTCTAGTTGGGGTTATATTTCACATTACAAATTATCATCATTTGTTTCTGTTTTTTAATTAACATTGATTCTAGCCTAGAAAACGTGGAAGTTTGGCTTGTTCTTTACCCAAATAAAAAATTTAAGAACAATAAAACATAATGTTTATTTTTAACTATAAATTTTATTTCCCTAGTTAGTAAGAGTCATTGAGTTTTCGTTTCCTAATACTCCACAAAAGGTGTCACTAAGATGCAAGCACAATAACTGATTTTAATAGTCCAACAACTTTTAATTGCCTAGATTCAAGAGGTAAGCTTTAGAGACAATTGAGAAAGTAATAACAAAAAGACCAGGAAATAATTGGAATTCAGGTGTGTTATTAGTAATTCCAACTTAAATCCATGAGGTGTTGATTTTTGTTCATTCTACTTTGCTCTCTTGGTGAACTGAAAGTCCACTGTTAATATGACTTTGCTATTTTAGTGTGATTTTTCTGAAGTACAACTTGGGGATTCTTTAATGCAGTGTACACAGGTTTTTCATAAGACTCATCACATGGGGGACACCAGCAAGTTTTTGAAGGCCTTCTTGTCTGTTTTTTAACTGTTCCATCAACATTTATTTCACATATCAATCAATAGAATTACCTTATGCTCCAGGAGGATGATCGATAATGTTCTCTAACAGAAAAGGATAATGATGTTTCTAAAGTGAACTAGAGATAGATAGGCACCATAGATAAAGGAATGGGTTTGAGGCTCACACTTAATTCTCGCCCCAATCTAAGAATAGTTAGTTCTTGTGACATGGCCCTGCCTGATGCTTGCCCTCATGATGAATCATTGAAGACATGGGTCATCCAGCAAAGTGTGGTGAAGAAACTAGATGGTGACCAGCTACTCGAAAGAATAGCACCTGGGGTCTTAAAGGCTTATCTTCAGAGTCTGAGTGAAGCATCCGTTGGGCCCACCCACCAGAAGCACATCAGGAAGAAGTACACCATCCGATGTGCTCTAAGGATGGTGAATGATAAAATCCAAACCTGAAGGAGGGTAGAGCTTAAATGGTGAGGATATATTATTTTCTTTTTTTCTTCACACCACATGGATAATAGGAATAAATCTGAAGTAGTCATTGGGACCGCTGAGGGGAGATGGTTGGTGCAGCTTTTCCGTCTCATAAGCAAATGGGAAACAGTGAATTATCACCTTTCTTCTACATGTGTGCTGATACTACTTGAAATTATAATTTTCTGATTTGCTTAATTGAATAAAATTTCCACCAAAAATATGTGCATTTCCACTGGTCACAGAAACTCTCTTGTTTTAACTTATGTGTACATTTGACTAGTCCTACAAAATCTCAATTACCTATCCAACTGTTAGTGAAAAAGGAGAAGAGAGACACCCTTCTCTCTTTTGAGACGTCTGATTATTTTGTCTTCAGTTTCATCTGTTTGGGGAGTTTTCTCAGAGAACGGAGTTCCTTGTTTCCTACTTGTGGAAAAGTGGCATCCACACGCAGGGTGGTCCAAACTGCATGGCAAAGTTCATGGCAGCAATTTGTAGGACTTTAAGAGAACATAGACCTACCCCTCTCATAGAGTGAATTCTCATTTGAGATGCAGGTCTAACTTAAAATAGTTCAGGATAAGAACTGATAGATATACATGAAGAAATAGTGTCAACCGTAAAGTATACCAAGAAAGAAAAATATTCTTGGTAGTGATGGAGCTCGGACTTGAAGAATAAGAATACCAGGGCAGGAAAGACCTTGGCTCTAAAGATCTCCTGAGACCTGTGTACTCTAGTTCATGTGGACTTTAGTTTGGCATAATAGCCTAGTGAGTGCCCTACTCTTTAACATGCGTTTTGTCTTCTTTAATGATCACCGTATCTCTTAAAATTATCTTATTGCCCTCTATGCATTTAGAGTAACTTTTATTCTCACTACAAAATTTCAGCTTGTTCAGAGAAAGACTGCTGAGAATGACTTTTTTTAATTTATGAACTGAGGTTTATTTTAAAGTTTAATGTGGTCATCAAAGGTTAATGAATACCAAGCTTATAAATTAGACATTCTAAAGACTCACTCAGCATCTCTAAACTGGTCCAGTGTTGAGACTAAATGCAGTACAAAAGAAATATACATGTATATCTTATATATGTACATAGAGATAGAATTTTATGGAAATGTGAGTGTTTTGAGATAAAGCAATTTGCAGTGTTGGATTTGTAATATGCAGACATTTATCTGTACCATTCCCAAAGGAAATGTGTGCCATTTACATTTATAAATGCATAAGCAAGTTAATGGTAGGGTCATGCAAAGGCCCACATGACATAATCCTGTGTACAGTCTTTTTGGCCTGCATGCCAGGAACATGATGCACAGTGTGCAAGTGAACACACATACTCACACACATATGCAACACTGCCCATCAGAAGGACATTATCTGGAAGTTAGAACACATGTCAGGCTTTGACATTGTAAAACTGAGTAAGTAAAAAAGTATTGCTACTAGAATTCTTTTTCATACACACCTAGATTTATTCCAAACAAAATATGTTTTTTCATGCCTCTTTGATCTCTGGATGGCTTCAGACAACGTCTCTCAATCATATATTTATCTTCATCTTCCAGAGGGCCTTACAATCATCATCTTTTAGGGGGCCTTTAATAAAAATCAGTTCATATCAAAAGGGTGGCTTCTGGGGGCATCTGCTTTGCTGGTTAAATTCAAGGCTGGTAGATCAACTTATAAGGATATGGCGATTATTTGAGAGACTCCAAATGGATCATCTTGATAGATTTGAAGGACACAGAATGATCACAGGGGCTTCTTAGGAAAAAGTCTTAAGAAGTTGAAAACTGCATTTTTGATGAGAAAAAGGCCGTGCAAATTGTGCTGAGGAATATTTTTTTCTATCATGACAATGCACCTGCTCATTCCTCTAGTGAACACTGTTCTACAAGAATCTCATCGGGAAGCCTGGCCCCTTCCAGCCCACCCCACCCCCGAGCCCTGGTATTGCCTCTTCAGACTGCCTTTTATTCCCCAAATTCAATGAACATTTAACAGGAACATTATTTAAGTCCCTCAAGAATGCCAGAGCTGCCATTTTAGCATGGTGAAAAGTATCTGAATTGAAGAGGATAGGATTCTGTGGGGGGAAGGATCTAATTACCCCCTTGCATGAGGATATCATGGTTTGCTACAGGGATGTTTGTGTGTATTAGAGGGTGCTGCTTCAGGGATCAAACAATGATCTTAAATTATATCCAGTGTGTGTACTACATTCCCTTCTTTTAAAAACATCTGAAAGTATGAAATTCTGGAACACATCGGGCAGTAAAGTGCCTGAGATATGGTAACATCACTTTCAAAGAGTTACAGACTTAGATGGAGGATGTCTTAAGAAACAATAACATCATCTTTTATTTTAAAATTGACTTTTTAATTGGGGATTTGTGGCATGAGCATATTATTAACTGTCTTTTTTTTTAAGTCATTTCATTGGTGGCTCTTACAGATCTTATAACATTCCCTACATCAATTGCATCAAGCATATTTGTACATATGTTGCCATCATCATTTTCTAAACATTTACTTTCTATTTGAGCCCTTGGTATCAGTTCCTCTTTTTTCTCCTCCCTCCCCCACCCTCACACCCTCGTGACCCCTTGATAAATTATAAATTATTATTGTTTTCATATCTTACAATGACCACTGTCTCCCTTCACCCACGTTTCTGTTGTTTAACCTCTGGGGGGAGGATTATGAGTTGATCATTGTGATCTTTTCCCCCTTCATCTCTCTCTACCCCACCCTTCCTCCCCCTACCCTACTGGTATTGCAAGTCCCATTTCTGTTCCTGAGACCTGGATTCCGTGTGCCATGAGCTCTTATTTGTACCAGTGTATATGCTTTGGTCTAGCCAGGACTGAAAGGCAGGACTGGAGTCATGATAGTGGGGGCTGAGGAAGCTTGAAGCAGAGGAATATTGTGTGTTTCATCGTTGCTATACTACACCCTGGTTGACCTATCCCTTCTTAGTGAACCATCTATGAGGGGATGTCCTATTGTCTACAGATGAGCTTTGGGTCTCTGCTCCAACCCCCCTCGTTCTCAACAATATGGTTTGGTTTGATTTGGTTTCCAGTCTTCTGGTGCCTGTTACCTGATTCCATCACACCTCATGATCACACCGGCTGGTGTGCTTCTTCCATGTGGGCTTGTTGCTTCTCTGTTAGATGGCCACTTGTTTAACTCATGCCTTTCAGACCCCAGATGCTATATCTTTTGATTGTCAGGCACCATCAGCTTTCTTCACCACATTTGCTTATGTACCTATTTTGTCTTCAGTGATCATGTCAGGAGCGTGAGCATCACAGAATGCCAGATTGTTTGAACAAAGTGTTCTTGTGTTGAGGGAGGGCTTTAACAGAGGCCTGAATAAATTCCTCAATGTATTGCCATAGAAATACATGTACATAGATCAATACCTCTATTTTTATGGGTTAATATATTTATGAGTGCACACCTATGCTTATACCTCTATCCATAGCTTTGCTTCCCAGATCTTTTCTGTTTCCTTTTACCTTCCTCCTGACCCACCATCATGCTTGCCCTTCTTCTGCCTCTTAGCGATTCCTCTCTTCTAGATTGCTGTTGCTCCAACACCCCCAGGAGCTCCACATCCTCCTGATCGTTGATTTTAATTCCATAGTTGTTCCCCTATCAGTGGCGTTGCTTGCTCATCACTCCTTTCTCCCGCTTCCTCCTCCCCCAAGCCCTTCCAGAACCACTGGTCCTGTTGCTTTCTCCTCAGGCTGGCTCCCTCTGCCTACCTCATATTGGTAAGAAAAACAGCAATAACAGAGACAAAGCAAAAGGAAAACAAAAGATTGAGGAAAAAGAGAAAACAAGAAATAAAAAAGGAAAACACTAGCAAAAAAAATAACATCATAGTTTTATGTTTTTGTTTAATAAAGGTTTCTATGATTTTGAAGCAATACTTTTGGATCTGCTCTCTTATACACACTTTTGCCCATGACTCTTATTAAATGGAGAATTTCATCAACTTTAGCGAATATTCTTCATATTATATCACATGAAATAAACTTGAAGTAGCATACAATCCCATATGACATTGAGGAGACAGTTCTATCAGAACGTGGTCCCTGATCTCATTAATTCACAGAAGTTTGATAGCCCATGATCCCATAGAAATTAGCTAATTACCAAGACTCTTACCAGAATCAATTTACTTGATATTTATAATGTATATAAAATGCATATTTTTTCTTTTTCCTTTTTTATTATTTTGTTTTTCTTTTTAAAAAATCATTTTGTTGGAGGCTCTTACAGCTCTTATCACAATCCATACATCCATGTATCAAACACATTTGTACATATGTTGTCATCATTTTCTTTTTTCCCCCATTATTGTTTTTCCCTTTATTTTTATTTTTTAATTGTTTTATTAGGGCTCATACAACTCTTATCACAATCCATACATCCATGTATCAAGCACATTTGTACATATGTTGTCATCATTTTCTTTTTTTTCCCCATTATTGTTTTTTCCTTTATTTTTTTTTAATTGTTTTATTAGGGCTCATACAACTCTTATCACAATCCATACATGTAGCAATTGTGTAAAGCACATTTGTACATTCATTGCCCTCATCATTCTCAAAACATTTGCTCTCCACCTAAACTCTTCATTTTACCCCTCCCTCCCTGCCTCCCCCTCCCTCATGAACCCTAGATAATTTATAAATTATTATTTTGTCATATCTTGCACTGCCCAACATATCCCTTCACCCACGTTTCTGTTGTCTATACCCCAGGGAGGAGGTCACATGTAGATCCTTGTAATCGGTTTCCCCTTTCCAACCCACCCTCTATCCACCCTCCCAGTATCGCCACTCACACCACTGGTCCTGAAGGGCTCATCCACCCTGGATTCCCTGTGTTTCCAGTTCCTATCTGTATGAGTGTACATCCTCTGGTCTAGCCAGATTTGTAAGGTAGAATTGGGATCATGAAAGTGGGCAGCGGGGTGGGGGAGGGGGAGCGAGAGGAGCATTTAGGAACTAGAGGAAAGTTGTATGTTTCATCGTTGCTACATCACACCCTGACTGGCTTGTCTTCTCCCCGAAACCCTTCTGTAAGGGGATGTCCAGTTGCCTACAGATGGGCTTTGGGTCCCCACTCTGCACTCTCCCCCTCATTCACAATGATATGATTTTTTGTTCTTTGATTCCTTATACCTGATCCCTTCAGCACGTTGTGATCACACCAGCAGGTGTGCTTCTTCCATGTGCATTTTGTTGGCTTCTGAGCTACATGGCTGCTTGTTTACCTTCAAGCCTTTAAGACCCCAGATGCTATATCTTTTGATAGCTGGGCACCATCAGCTTTCTTCACCACATTTACTTATGCGGCCATCTAGCTCAGAAGCAACAAAGCCCACAGGGAAGAAGCACACCATCCTGTGTGATCATAAGGTGCTGAAGGAATCAGTTATCAGGCATCAAAGAACAAAAAATCATTTCATTGTGTGCTCACCTCCCTGATACGATCGCTGAAGACAAATGGGTGCATAAGCAAATGTGGTTTTTCTTGCTTTTTAAAAATAACTGCATATTTCAAAGCAATAAAATGATTTTATTACAAAAACTTTCTTAGGTCAATAAAAAAAGATGGTTTTACTTACTAGAAAAAATAGACCCTGACAGAATTAAATCATTCCATCAAAAACTTGATGTGTCACCTGATTATAAGAAAAAATTAAATGGTATCTCAAAATACATGTTTGGGCTATAAGGCTGATCTGAATTCATTACAGAGAACTTGGAAAGTACACAAAAGTAACAAAAAATGGAAGTCCATATATGGCCACCACTCAGAGAGGACTGCTGGTCATAGCGCATTGCAGTTCTTCATCCACACTGTGGAAACCCAGAAATCTTTGAAAACCGTGAAATATTTCCGAAGTTTGCAGTAAAATTTATTTGGTTTCAAAATGCTGGCCTTGCAGTGAGCAGCCCAACATGTTACTCCTGCGCGGGCGCGCCAGCGCTCCTGATGACGACAGCAGCTTAGCACAGTCCTGTCGCTCTTAGACGGACTTCTGCAAACCAGAAGTTCCTATTTGTCTTCTTGATCAGTACAGGATTCGCAGTCCTGCGACTGCTGGTGGGGGGCTCAGTGAGGCCTGAAAAGCATGAGGAGCCCCCGAAACATTAAATTATATTCGCTACAGACTCTGCATCACTGGCATTTAAAAAGCTCACCATTGGTATCCTTCGAAAAATGGGTATTTGTATATTACATATGTTTCTTGATCAGCCAAAATAGATGTTTAATTCTCATTAGTTAAAATATTTGATTAGCTAAAATGCCTTATTGCCAACTGTGTGGTATAATAATGAAATGTAAGCTTAGGCACTATCTTTTCTAGGGTCTCCAAGGAATTCCGGGCATTCCAGGTGCCCCAGGACTGACTGGACCCCCTGTAAGTATTTGTTGTTCCATTCCCGGCTCCTGTCTGCCGGGATGAGGCATGATGAATCAATATTCTTCGCTGTCTTGTACCCATGGTGCCTGCATGGAGATTAGCCTAGGAAGGCCTCCTCCAACACCTCAGCTTCTCACTGAGCGCGACAGATGGCTGCTCCAGGTCTTGCAGACTCCTCATCGGAATTCCACCCGATCAGAGCACAGTCTGTGATTAAGCTAGTCTCTTTGAAATGCACGTTGTATGTAAAAGAGCATTCTAATTTTTAATTATAACTGTGGTATTAACCTTTGGAAGAAACATTCAGATGGTTACACCCTTATATTCTATTTTTTTTCACCCTTACATTCTTAAGCAACATAAACTGAGAAATCACTTTCAAGAGCAAAAGAAAAAGTGCCAAGGATTATCAGATTCACTTTTTTGTCTCCTTATTTCTGAATAAATCCAGCACTCCACTTCAGCAGGGGCATTTTTCTCACGGGTGCTCCAACATGCCACCCCAGCTGTGTGGTCTTAGGGACCCTGTTGAGAGTTTCTAGACCAGATTCTCCTCCTTTCCCACCTGCCAAATTCATCCTTGCATCCAAGAGTAATCAAGTCGAGTCTAGGGTTGCTGGACAAAATGCCGCTCAACAAGTTAAATATGACCTTTGGTAACCAATGATCTTTTAGTATAATTTTACCCCAAAGATTCCATGTCTGTGTCCTAAATCTAGCAGCATTACTCAAGTCTCAACTTCTCCAACTCCTCTCTCCGTAAAGTTCTTGGGCAGATAGAGGAGCGAGTAGGAACAGGCTCCTACTCTGCAGGAATGCTTTGAATCACGGATTCGACATCATTAAAACCTTACCCTTGTGCTGTCACCATGGTTCTGTAGAACAAACCTGCCTTAAAATAGTACACTAGAGTTTAAAGAGAAAAATGTGAATAGAGCCATGAAAAACATAACTAACTCTATTTCCCAAAGAAGAATCAAAATTAAATTTTATTCTGCATTTGCTACAAATGCACATCACATAACTCAGTATGCACATTGTGAATTCTGCCACATCTTGAAGTATTTAAAATGTTGATCACTACCAAAATTATAGCTCATTTAGGAAGGCATAATGTTATGTAAATTGCCATTTAAACAGCAAGGCTAAATTCTTAAATGTATCAAAAGGTTCCAATTAAGGTCATTACATCTGGTTGGCCAAGGTGAAGAAGCAACCACAAATATGAATTTCACCCTGACAAGGGCTTATCAGCAGGGTACAGCTGCAGTGTTAGCTTACAGAAATATAAGCTTTTAGGACTGATTTAATTAGGACCAAATGACCTTCAAAATATGTGCATTTTCATAAACAACTTCCAGTACTCTTTGCCATGTGATTGTTGTTTCTGTAACAAACTTGGTTTTGTGTCCTATAGGGCTTATTGGGGAGAACGGGACATCCTGGTCCTGCAGGAACAAAGGGTGACAAGGTACAGTGGAAACATCGCATGTATCATCCAAAGCGGGGCTGAAGGGAGTAGCAGAATGAGACCATTTGGAGAGCAATCCATAAAGCCAAGCAGTGAAAACACCAAATAAGGTGTCCTCCTCGTCACCCACAAAGGCCAGTGGGTGTTGATTCAACTCTGACTTCGGGTGACCCCGCTGTGTCAGAGAAGACCTGTGCCCTGAGGGTTTTCAGCAGCTGGTTGGACAAATTGCCAGGCCTTTCCTCTCAGTCTCTTTTATGGGTTGCTTGGTTGGTTGTTCTGTTCTCCAAGTGTTTTCTTCCAGGTGTCTCCAGGTGAACTTGAACTTCCAGTCTTTCGGTTGGCAGCAGAACGCATGAACTGGGTGCATCACCCAGGGGGTGAGCTCTGATATCAGGGCATTAGCATTTTGTGGTAGGCCTAGAAGAGGATGGGTCCAAAGGTCAGTGTGAATGCAGGAGATATGTTCTTGGGGGAAAGAATGAGTCAAACATTTGGTGAAGTAGAACCAAAGTCCAAGTTGAACTCTGGGTCCTCAGCGCCTACCCTTACGGAACCTGCAGAGATGCAAATAAGAAGGTTTGCATCGGGTCCTTCCAGTCACAGGTGTCCATTCTCACAGAGACTATATGGACCCGACTTGGAATAACTGAAAGGCTTGGTAAAGCACTTTTCTCCCCGGAAGGTAGTGTTTGTTTCTTATGGCGGCCTAACAAAGTACCACAATTTATACAGCCTAAACCAGTACATCTCTTCCTTCTCACAGATCTGGAGACAGAGGCTGAATTCAGGGTGTTTGCAAAGCTATGCTCCCAAGCCTTTCTTTAGCAGAGGCTCCGACTTGTGGTAGACTCCGCTGCTGGCCTCTGCCTGCATCTGCCGGTGTTCCTCCGCATCTCTCTGTCTCTTCTCATTTTTTCCCAGTTATGTTAGATTAAGACCCATCCTTGGGCAATATGACCCCTGACATTAACGGGTTAAAAATCTTCCAAGCTCTTCCTTCCAAACAAGGTCGCGTTCCTAGGTACAAGGAGTTAGGACTTCAGATCATCTTGGGGGGCCCAAGGCACTGTAGAGCAACGTCTCAAGGAAAATCACTGATGAACCCAGCTATCTTGTTATTGGTCAGATGGCTGGCTGCTGTCAGAAGAGACCAGCAGGAGGGGTGTCTCACAGGGTAGGACCACAGAGGTGGCCATCCAGTGTGGGTCAGGCTCTGCCATAGTGGCAGAGTCAGCAAGTGCGTGAAATCAGTGTAGTGATTTCTAGGAGGGAAATAAGACTCCAAAGCCACAACTTTCACTCCAGCGCAAGCTCCCAGAGCACTCAGGCCCTGGCGGCAAGGAACAAAGGCCTCCCAACAAGTCTGAAAGAAAACAATGTGCTTATTCGAGAGAGTCTCAGCATATTTTTATTTTCTCAGCACATTTTTATTTTTTCTGGTCATATCACTAGGAGCTTGTCTATCCCACCAGACTTTTTCATCTGTTCTCCATGGAAATAATTCAGTCATAGATTTGCCTTTGAAGTTAATGGGAATTCCACACTGAGATGCGCTTTGGGGCACAAACGAGGATGAAAATAAGATTTTTAATTGTGCCGGAGAGAGAGAAAAAAAAGTCTTTTCAACAGGCATATATTTTTCCTTGTTCGTTGGCTCAGGAGAACTATGACATAATTCTATGCAAGACTTGCCAGCAGTCACCAGAATGTGACATGTCTTACGGCCTCACCACCATCAGAGCACGTAGGAAAGACATAATAGACTCGTTCTCTATCACAAGCCCTGAAGCAGATACAGAGCAGGAAGAACTTGGCAGTCTATTTTTACTGACAAACATGCATAGGAAGCAATTTCTGACATTACCCGTAGTTACTAGAGATTGGGAGGCAGTGTGAACAAAATTATTTACTAAAATTCTTTACTAAACATTGGAGGGAGTGGGAATTTTAAATCTTTAAAATTTTGATGGAGATGAGCAAAAAGCTCTCAAAATTCTTGCGTACGCTGAGTAGGAATTTAGCTGTATCTGAATCCTGATGAGCAGTGCGTTGCCATTGCCCCTGCCACGGAGGCGCCTAAAAGATGTCACGAGGTTATTATTCTCAAAGAAAAGCACACTTAGAGGCATCACTGGTTAAAGGCTCCATCAAAACTGCAATAACTCTGCTTATTATGGATCAAAAAAGCATTCTATGCTTTGTAAAAATAAAAAACGAAATCCATTTTTCAGGTTTCATTGTGAAGCTGTTTTTCACAGTATCCATGTTCAGTCTTTTTCTGTCCCCCGTAAGCAAAATTCCTTAGCTGTTGAAACTGTAAAGAGACATGTCCTTAAATAGCATTGTTCCGCAGTCACTTCTGCTCAGCAGAACATGCTTGACTTGGTTAGGAGGTCTGATATTAACTCAGGAAATGGAAGAGGTCTCTCTGCCTGAGGACACAATACAGGTTATGATGTCCCACTCGAGACGACTTGTATGAGTGGCCACTCTGGTTCCCGAAAGGTGGAGGTGACAGAGCGAAGGCCTGGGGGATTACTGCTGGAGAAAGCCACAAGCCAAGTGCCTGACACCTGCTCAGCGCCCCAGGTGGGGAGGTCCTACCTCCCACCCCCCAGGTGCCACTTGAAGTCCCAGACAAGATGGCCTGGGCTCTTTGGCGCCATCTAAGATGAACTTCAACCCTTAGGGTCACAGAACCAAGGGTCTGCAATAGGACATTTCCTTTTCCTGTGGTCTAGAAACTCTTTCCCGGAATGAAGGAGAGAGCCAAGCTGAAGAAGACTTTGCAAAGTTGAAAAGAAGTGACACATTGTATTGATTTCAGAGGATGGCTGTCTTGAGCCAACACAGGCTGGTTCACAAGCCTGGGGTGGAAATGTCTAAGCCATTTATGTTGGTCTGTATCCTTTGCAGGGCAGCGAGGGACCCCCTGGGAAGCCTGGACCACCCGGCCCACCTGTGAGTCCTTTCAGGTTTAAAACTTAAAATTCATGTGTTTAGTTAAAAGGTTTTATAACCCTGCGGTCAGACGACATTTAGACGTTCTCAAAGATGAGCCTCTTAAAGCAATTTTTATACAAAAGAAAACAATAGCCAGTATAGGTTTGTGGACACCCTTTTTCCTCCCTGCCTTTGGCTCTGCCCCTACAGGCAGTGTTCACACTTTGCACTTTCCCTTCCTGCCTGGAGGACTTGGCACAGCCCACTGAACCTCGATGACCCTCATTCGTGGGAAAGAAAGCTTGTCAAAAGAGATCCCAATGGGCAGTGAGAGCTGGCCGGATATTTGGTATTGTACTATTTGTGTTCATTCCCATCAGTGATGTCTGAGGTGCAAGGAAATTCTATTTATATAGCAACTAGTGAACAAAAATCCAAGAGCCATTGATGTGTTTACACTGGTGATTGAAACAGATGCGCACTTTGTCCGGGAAGCTGTGCAGAGTGAAGCTGCCTCTCTGGAGCAAGTCTGCCCTCGTGTGGGGCCGTGCTCAAATCGCAGTAGAGCTGAGGTCCAGGCAAGATGTTCTTTTCCACCCAGCCTCCCAGGAACACTTTAAGAACTCAGACTCACCCACCCGAGAAGGGGCAATTCAACGGTGACGTCCTGAAGCCACCAACAGGATGCGTTCTTCCATGAGAGTAAATGCACGCTGTGAACAGAGAGATCTGCCCGCGTCACTTTTCTGCACATGCCCCTCCGCTTGGTTTCTTGTCTCCTTAGACAGGAAGGACGCGGAGCAGAACACAGTGGAGGCCCACCCTTTCGCATGCATCATTTCTCCAGTGGACAGGACAGTGCATGCACCGTGAGCTCACGGCAGGGAACCATGCTTTTTAACTACCTTAGAAACCCTTCTCTTTACATCTGAAGTCTCCCAAACTATTCCTTTTGCAAGACACACATCCAATGCTATCTACTCTAGAAACTGACTGAAAATATCGGAGAGAGGTCTCCCAAGCCCTCATCTCCCCCAGACTTAACGTCCTGGCACACAGGGACCTTTCATCCTTGTCACGTGAATGAGTGAAATGATGAACCACTAGAGGGGCGGAGCGTTTCTCCTTCCATCGCCAGGATTGTAAAGATGTATGCAAACGGTGCTCACTGGGCACCTCAGTCCCCAAACCATGTCCAAATTCCTTTGCTTTGCAGCTTACGTGTAAGAATCACACCGTAAAGGGAAAATGCAATGTAAATTTTTATAAAGAAAGATGGCAGTTTTTAGCTGAAATTTCCATAAGCCAATTTTTTTCTGAATGCTAAACTGGACATTTATTTGTCTTTAATAATCTAGAATGTATTTCTCTAAGTATTGGTTACTCTGGGACTTTACATTCAGCAAATCAGGTTTTGTGGGACGTTCTTGTTCTCCATTCTTCTAAAACATATGTTTCTGCGGAAATATCCACACAGGTTGTGAGTAACATTAACTCCCCAATTGACCTTAATTTTCTATTTGGTCTGTCAAGGCGGTTGGGGGGAAAAAATTACTTCCCAATAGCCAAATTGTTCCCTATTCACATATTCATCAGCACTACCACATTCAAGCCTGCAGGTCAGCAGGCTGTAAACAGTTAGCATAAATTGGCAATTCCGAAACGGAATTTTAATGAGCAAATAATATTTTCCTCTGAATGCATTAGTGTTTCATCTGTCAAACCCGGACATTAATCAAGCCCCTGCTGCGCGTGTCTGTGTGCTGCAGGTGCAGCTTACGCTCCTTTTCATTTTGCCCCTGTGTTTGCTTTTGAAAAGCAAAAGGTGGGAGCATTGTATTCTTTCACTTGCAGTATCAACTCACTTCCTAAAGCAGGATATAACTGATAGCATTTGGTTACAAAGGTCAAAGGTAGAGTTGTTCACCCCTAACTGAATCGAGTAATTTTATATCTCATTTCTTTCCTCAGGGTGTACCATTCAATGAGGGAAATGGAATGAGCAGCTTATATAAAATCCAGGTATTTGCATTCATAGTTATTTAAAAACCCTCTCCCAGTTACAGATTGCTGAAACTTCCTCTCTTCTCTTTCTTTCTCTTGAAGGGAGGTGTGAGTGTTCCCAGTTATCCAGGCCCACCTGGCCCACCTGTGAGTACGCCTTCTTCTTCCCCAAGCACACAATGGAAATGAACAAAAGGAGACCAGAAATCCCTGAGTTGAATACTGCGGGTTGCTAGTACACCCACATATTGTATTGCAGAAGAAAGCGAAATGAGAACCAGCATAAGAACATTCTTCCCATGGGCACAGCCAAAACAATATTTTGCATAGTGGTGCCATTTTTTTTTCATTGTAAACTGAAGAACTGAATAGATGTCCACGCAATTATATTCATGGGGATCCCATCAAAATATGTTGTCTTTCCTTCCCATCCCAAACTATAGCAAATGCAAAACTCACCAATATCCTTGTGTGCTTTAAAACACGTTGGGAAAAAATTAGTTTGGTATTCTATAATTTTGCTTTAGTCATTATTTTATTGAAATGAATTTATATGATTTTTTACAGGGCCCAAAAGGCGATCCTGGCTCAGTGGTAAGTTATGTTCCCATGTTTTGTGTCATTTAGAAAATAAGTCCTTGTCAAAGTTCAAAAGAAGAACATCAGGCCATGGTGGCCTACCTGCCTTGTTACTAAAGACAGATAAACTCAATGACATCGAGTCAATGCCAACTCATAGTAACCCTATAGGACAGGGTAGAACTGGCCCCGTGAGTTTCCTGGACTGGATCTCTTGATGGAGTAAAAAGTCCCATCTTTCTCCCTTGGAGCATCCGACAGTTGCGAACTGCTGACCTTACAGTTAGCAGCCCAACCTGTAACCAGGATGCCACCAGGCTAGGTGCTCATCAATTCGCTTGTCTGAGCCAACAGGGGCAAGGTTCCAGAGAGATGCCAGCAGTATGTTTGTTGTTTTTAAGATACATCCATCTGCTCTTCCCCAAGCCTGATGTTGTCACGGAGTTTGAGATCCATCTCTTACCACCAATGTGTTTTCTAAATCACCTTGTGATAGAGGAAGACACATGTAAACCTTCTGATAAATGAGACACTTTCTAATAATAGGATTCTTTATATGATTGATTCCGTTTTAATTAGACTGTGGAAGAGAAATACTTACTGGAAAGAAATTCCTTAATATCCCTGCCCTCTTCTCAATTAACAAAAAGAAAGGACAGAGACTGTCTATTTGCTTTGGGTGTCTTAGGCAATTATTCTGTAGCAGATGAGGGATGTTGTCATCAACCCACTTATTAGGAATAATGTATCAGGAGGTTAACGCTCAGCATGTAAGGAGATCTTGTCCTCCAACGGCCCAAAGGGTGATAATTGTTCTCAGCACCCTTCTCAACCATGGAGCGTCACTCTAAAAGTTCTGCCAGATTCAATTAGACCCCATTTGTTCCTTGGCATTTTTTCCTGTCATGTCCTTTGCAAACATATGTTCTATCCTTCATCGTCCATTTGTTTATCCTTTTGACCTTTGGGTATAGGCCTGACATACCTGAAACTGAGATAAACTTTCAACTGATTTTCCACGTCCGTATGAAAGAATTTAAAGCCCTTTTATTACAGTATTAAGAAGACTACAGGAATAAATTTTAAGCCAGTGAAAGAAAAATCATGAAAAACAATCTTTTAACATCTAAATATATGTTAAAAGGACTTGCATTAAAGAACTTATTTTTGTTATGGAACAAAGCATCTTACTAAAGCCAATATGTATTCTCCTGAAAGCATTCTTTCAACTCATTAGTACCATATTTCAAACTCCAAATTTTAGAAGTTTCATTTTTCTGTTACTTTTTTTGTACATGCTTTCAACAACTAGACCTTTCATTATAATTTTCATTTTCTTTCATCTTGTCAACTACAAAAATGCCCTCCCAGCCTTTCCAGCATACATTTTCATCTCACATACAAAAAATCCCTCTGGACCATCCAGGTACATTTCTCATTGACATTTCTGTAACATTCTTTCAAGTTCTTACATAAGCAGCTATATAATAAGGTGAGAAAGATTTCTGTCTTGCAGTGTTGTTTTTTTTAAGTAAGGCAATATAGAGGAAAAATCAGCTGCAATTCACTTGGATTGGAAAATGGCTGGCCATGAAAATGCTATATGCTTCTGTAGAATCTGAAGTGATTAAACTTCAAATTCCTTAGCTGTAATAAAGGCTAAAGAATCAAAGCTATTTACAAGGTATATCCTGCTTTTAGATGTGGAAATAAGTTGATGAAGCACAAAATAAAAACCAGAAATGTGGGAATTATAAAATAAAAGAAAATATTGTTAAAAAAAACAAACTTCCAGTTTAGCCAGGGCAAAGTTTGAAAATGCTTTTAGGCACCACCATGGGAGTCTCTTTATCTCCCACAAGTTGCCCAATACAGAGAAATAATCATAGAAATATGGTATGAATAGCTAAGAGACTCTTTCACCAGCCTTCAGATTGTGTGGTACCACCTTGTGGCCTTCTCTGCAAACCTCTGTAGAGGAACTGTTGAATTGCATTTATATATCTTTAAGATACTTCACATTGCTCCTCTAGTGTTCCATTTTTAAGTGATTTTCAATTAAACATTTAATTGTTAGCTACTTTCACAGAAATATTTACTGATTGAGAACCTTCTTTGTTCTAGGGAATATTGGGAATGTAACTAAAGGGAGTCAAAGATTATTTCCTTTATCAATAACCCAGGGCCTCTCTTACAGAACTTTGTTAAGAATGGAATCTTTTTATTTTTTTCAGATGGGCAGAGTGCATATTGTAAAAGATAATTAAAGCATAAAATGGATCAGTCATGCAGGGTTTCATGCAATAGTCAAAAATAATTTTAAAACATAAATAATAAAGATGTTAGAGCATTGGCAAAGTTTTTAAGCAGATTGGAATTATCTGCAAAAGTACACTCACAGAGAATAATATTTGGAAGCTCCCTTTTCTATATGATCATGTTTAAAGCATCCAGTATCCTAAAAAAAATAGTTGTATGAACTATTAATATTCAATAAAGTGCCCACTTTATCTCTCTTCACTTAGAAGTCATAAGGTTTACTTGTTCAAAGTTAGCAGCCTCCACCACCATAACTTTTAAAAACGCATTCTGTGGGAGCTGCTAGTTCTAGTTGGCCTGCGATAAGACACTAGGATACATAAAAGATTAGAAGGAAGTAAATAGATAACATTTACTCATCTCCTGCTCTTAACCCATCAGTTTGACTATGACTTTTAGAATCATTGACTCATCTCTGGGTCATGTACTCATGCATTTATGATTCATGTTCAGCTGTTGAGAATATTTATGGATGATAAACTACTTTGAGAGTACCATCTTCATTTAATCTTTATTAATGAGTATTTAGTCTCATTGTAACAATTAGAATTTAGTCTCAATGAGAAGGTAGTCTCATTGTCAGGTAATCTAGCAGTCCCACGTACTTCACAGATTTGCTTAGAGGCCAGCCTTTCATTCTCATTCTTATTAAAATTGAAATTACCATTGATGAGAGGGATTCATTGTGATTAGTTTCTTAATCAGAATAGAAACAATTGAAAAATAAACTCATACCTCTCAGGAGAATCACTTTGATTCACAAATTCCAAATGCAAGAATACAGAGACTCAAAAATACAACATACTGTTAATTGTCAGGTTGCAAATCAATGTTTTGGTATCATTTGGGGTCAAAAATAAAAGATTACAAGTTTGCCCTTGAAACAAATGCTTAAAAACTTCTTAATCATTGTGTATTGTATTTCTTATGTTCCTATTTAACAGGGAGAACCTGGTCCAATGGGATTGCCAGGACTAGAAGGGTTTCCAGGTATAAAGGTAAGCACATAGGAATATTCAATCATCGTTTGATGGGCATTGACTAAGTACCTACTGAGGAGTTTCAGCACTGTTTGAGGAGCTGGGAATATATAAGTGAATGAAACAAATATCTGTTTCCTCATGGAATTTATATTCAAGACAGGGGATACCAAAACTAAAGAATAAAATAATAAAAATATGATTGTTAAGTACTATGGAGAAACAGGAAAAGTGTAGCAGGTTGGGGGAATCAGGAGTAGGGCCAAAGGAGGAATGATCTTTTCTCAGTGATCTGAGAAGGTAAGAGCTGAACAAAACTTGAAGGGAGGGGCGTCAGCCAAGTTCCCCCAGTCTGAAGGAAGAATTCTCCATGAGAAGCACAAACAAAAACACCGCCGTCAATTCCGACTCAGCAACCGTACACGAGAGAGTCAAAGTGTGCCCAGAGAGGTTCAAGGTTGTAGATCCTTACAGAAGCAGGCTGCCACAGCTTCCTCCCTAGGAATGGCTAGGGGGGGTGGGGAGGGGTCTGAACTTTCATTCAAGCACTAGACCACTGTGCCACCCAGGATCCTTTTGAAGAGAAAATATCAGGCCTTGAAGCCCTGAAACATAGATATTCCTGCTATGTCCAAGGAGACCAACCTAGTGAACGAGGGGAGACGAGGAGGCTGGGAAGCAGGCATGAAAGGGACAAGTGGCCTGGTCATGCACAGCTACGCTATTCAAAGTGTGGCCAGGGAAGGGCCACTGCCAGTCTGCAGTCTCTGTTATGAATTCTGTGACAAGGTAAGCACAAACAATGAGAGTAAGCATTGAAAAGCTTGCCTGGCAGCTAGACTTTGCCATGATAAGCAAATGCTCAATCGGCCAGTGGTGCTCAGCATACAGTTCCTCATGTGGTGGTGACCCCCCCAACCATAAAGTTATTTTGTTGCTACTTCATAACTGTCATTTTGCTGCTGTTATGAGGTTGAGAACTGTGGCAATAGTTTCTCATGGTCCATGATGAATTAGGAAATAATCTGATTCTTCATCACAAGTAGTTTGAAAAGCACTAATAAGACTTACCATAGTTTTAAGAATTTATCTTTCACTCTGAGTTAATGGGAAACACTGATATTTTCTGAGTAGAAATGTAATAAGACCTGCAATTGTAGGTACAAAAAAAAACAAAAACCTATACAAGGGTAGGTAGAAAGAAGACAGATAAAAATCTAGACCAGCAATCCAGGTAGGTGTTTATATGGGCTCAGCAGTAGAGACAGTGAGAAGTATGAAGTTCTTGATACTTTTTTAAAGTAGTGCCAACAAAAATGTTTATTTATTAGATATAAGTATGAGAAAATAAAGAGTACTCAAGGACAATACCAAGTTTTGTTTTTGTTTTTTAACCTGAATGACTGGAAAGGAGTAGTCACTGTCTCTGGTTAGCTCTCTGAGTCGTAAAACCAGTGGACATATGTAGAGAAAAATTTATATCAAGAATATGCCTCACATAGTTGTAGAACCAGGCAAGTCCAAGAAGGTTCTAAGTCTGTGAGTCAGATGTTAGGCTAGAGACTTCTTATTCTTATGGCTGTGGGGCTGAAGAACTCAAGATCGGAAGAAAGGTGACAGGCTGATGGCTGCAGAAGCAAATGAATCCAAGGTCATTAGGTCAGATGGCAGGCCTTTGATGACTCTCGGTGTCAGCAGGCAACATGGCAGGCCATGTTTGTATCCGTTCATATTTCTGATAGCCTATGTATTCCCTGTGCCAAGGTTCTCAGGTTTGTCCCAATTCCCTCATTAATGGCCCTAATTGTTTGGAGTTTTGTCTCAAGGTCTGTGATCCAACTTGAGTTTATTCTTGTGCATGGAGTGAGGTAAGGGTTTTGCTTCATTTTTCTGCAGGTAGATATCCATTTTTTCCAGCACCATTTATTGAAGATGGCATCTGCTTCCCAATTAATATTTTTGAGCCCTTATCAAAGATCAGTTGCCTGTATCTGATGTTTTTATTTCTGAGTCTTCAGCTCTTTTCCATTGGTCTGAGTATCTGTCATTGTGCCAATACCACACTGACCCACCGAAGGGAAGGTGTGTGTCTCCAGGAGAGAGGGACTAGATTTAAAGCCAGTGCCAGATGCATGCAGCTTGTTGGCAAGGAGTGGGGAGCCAGTGGAGGGACCTGAGGGCTCGGCCCCCATGCCAGCTATGGGGACAACTGCCCCTCCCCCCTGAAGAATTTACTTGAGAGGATGGCACTGAAGCTACAGCTAGGGGAGAGGGGCATGTCTGATTAGAGCAAATGGGAGCATTTAGGGGAAGGAAGAGAGAGTGGAGCACCAAGCCTGGAGTACATCCCCGCTCTGAACAGCTAATGGACAGAGTGGACAATATGGCAGACCCAGTAAAAAGCAAGCAAGCTTTTCAACAGCTCCCACTTATATCAGAAGCAGGCCACACCCAAGGAAACATTCTTACCTTAATTGGATCAGGGCAATGATCCAGGTTAGGATGTTGCATCTCACTTTAATCTTCTTACAACTGATTGGATACTCATAGCGAATCCCATTTTGGAAATGATTACATCATGTTAGGTCATATCACGGGAGAATGCTTACTGGCTTTTTGACAGTCAAACCACCGAAAATCCTGGTTCAGCCACGTTGACATAAAATGTAGCTATAGTGCTCATCCACAGGATGAGAATAGCTATGGGCAGAACATGATCATGAGTTTAATTTTGGACATGAGGCCAAATTTGGGAGACACTTATATGTGCCATTGAATCAATTCCAATTCATAGAGACCCTGTGCACAACAAAACCAACACCACCCAGTCCTGTGCCACCCTCACTGTTGTTCTTGTGTTTGAGCCCATCGCTGCAGCCACTGGGTGAATCCATTTCATTAAGGCACTCCTCTCTTGCTGCCCCTCTACTTTACCAAGTATGCTGTCCCTTTTCCAGGGACTGATCTCTCCTGACAATGTCTAAAGTACGTGAGACAAAGTCTCGCCATCTTTGCATCTAAGGATCATTCTGGCTGTACTTCTGCCAAGACAGCTTTGTTTGTTCTCTTGGAAGTCCATGGTATTTTCAATATTCTTCACCACCACCATAATTCAAATGCATTGATGCGTCTTCCATCTTCCTTATTCAATGTCCAACCTTCAAATGCATGTGAGGTGATTAAAAATACCGTGTGGGCTTGGGTAAGGCACACTTTAGCCCTCAAAGCAACATCCTTGCTTTTTTATACTTTTAAGAAGTCTTGTGCAGCAGATTTGCCCATTGCAGTGTCATTTGATCTCCTGACTACTTCATGCATGAGCATTGATTGTGCTTCGAAGAAAGATGAAATCCTTAACAATTTCAATCTTTTCTCTTATCATGATAAGATCTTCAATCCTATCCTGGACCTATTGGTCCAGTTGTGAGGATTTGGGTCTGCTTTACACTAAGTTGTAATCCATACTGAAGGCTGCAGTCCTTAATATTCATCAGCAAGATCAGTGGAGACACTTACTAGACAAGAGAAATGGGATAGTCCTATGACGGGGTAGACTAAAGACTTCCTTGAGGCTCATGCTCATGAACTGAAGTGAGGCTCACCAAGGATAATACAAGGGGGTGCCCCCCACCTAAAAAATGGGGAAAACTCCACTAGTCAGAGCTTTCATAGTATGCACTTGTCCCTCTAGGCAAGGATCAAGCAACTCACTCTGAGTTAGTGGTGTCACCTGGGAAGGTTATCTCTGGTCACAGTGAATGTTTTTGTAAGAGCTGTTCTGCTCAAACCTCATTTTTTGTGATAGCTGACTTAAGAGAACAGTGTGCAACTGTGAAATTTTGTCTCCTGTTTGGGAAAAATGCCACAGAAATGGTTGTGATGTAGAACATGGCTTACAAGGACAGTACTATGGAAAAAACTCAAGTGGTTTTCTCATTTCAAAAATGGTGAAATGTCGATTAATGACATACCTTGTCCTGGACATCCATCAACTTCCGGAACAGATGAAAATGTCAACAAAATTCATACACTTGTATTCCCTCAATACAAGAACACTTTGTCCTAATAATCTGGCACTCTGAGATGCTCACCTTCCCGACACGATCGCTGGAGACAAAGTGGTACATAAGTAAATGTGGTGAAGAAAGCTGATGGTGCCCGGCTATCAAAAGATA